TTACTAGAATAAACAATCCATGGCTTTATTACGGCATCTCTAACAAAAATAAAACACAAGTGTTACTAGAATAAACAATCCATGGCTTTATTACGGCATCTCTAACAAAAATAAAACACAAGTGTTACTAGAATAAACAATCCATGGCTTTATTAAGGCATCTCTAACGAAAACAAGACACTAGTGTTACTAGAATAAACAATCCATGGATTTATCAAGACACCTATAATAAAAACAAGACACTAGTGTTACTAGAATAAACAAGCCATGGCTTTATCAAGACACCTCTAATAAAAACAAGACACTAGTGTTACTAGAATAAACAAGCCATGGCTTTATCAAGACAGTTCTAAGAAGAAAAAAAAACACTAACTGCATGCCATAAAAGTACAAATTCCATGGCTTGATGTTGACATATCTAACAAAAAAAAAAACACTAGAGTCAAAACAGTAAAAAATCCTTAGCTTTATGTTGACATATCTAACAAAAAAACAAAACACTAGAGTCAAAACAGTAAAAAATCCATGGCTTTATGTTGACATATCTAACAAAAAACCAAAACACTAGAGTCAAAACAGTAAAAATCCTTAGCTTTATGTTGACATATCTAACAAAAAACAAAACACTAGAGTCAAAACAGTAAAAAATCCATGGCTTTATGTTGACATATCTAACAAAAACAAAACACTAGAGTCACAAAAGATACGTATTTTGTTGGGTTTTTTTCAGTTCATTCTCTATAAAACCTCCTATATTTTCTATACATTCAGAATTTCAATACAGCATATTAACCCTATGAGCACTGTGGGGGTCAGTACAGCATACTAACCTTATGTCACATAGGGTGTGTGCGTGTGTGAAGGTCAAAGTGCACATGTTTATTAAACCACAATGTTATCACCATAAACTTGGCATCAAGACATAGTTAATAAATAACATTTTAATTTTAAAAGAAAGTATTTAAATAAATTCTCAACCTTCACTTGTCTATACCACTTGTTCTCTGAATTCCCATGTTCAATTTTCTCACCATCTCTACATGACGTCCTGTGTTTAACATAAATTACACATTTACAGTATAGTTTAATCTTAACCAGGAAGTCAAACCCACTTACCATGCTCTACTATCACGTCCTGTCTTGCAAAAAAAACATCAAAAATTCTCTCTAATGTTTGCTGTTGGATTACTTATAACCAACAGAAAGAGAAGGTTTAATACACAGAGTTCCATGCACGTAGGGTTAAAAATATAAAAACAATATTGTAACAAAATAAAAATGATTGAAATATTACGTGTAAAAACTTCTATCACCTCCTTTAAAACTTTCCAAAAAATATTCAGAAATTTAAACTTTTTCCTTAACCTTTACTTTGAAAATGCAGTAAAAACATTTTTTTCGACACTTACTAAACTTGACATAAGTATATATACCTGTTGCTGTTCAAAGTACTAAGATGTTTCTTAATTTCAAGCCAATTGTAATCAAGTATTTTTTTTTTACCTTGCAATCATTATTCCACAGATATTGGTGTTTTGTTTGTGAAGATTTGCATCTTCAAATGATAAGATATCTCCGTTACCTACAAACAAATACAGTTGTAATTAGCCACTAGTTAAAAGAAGGAAATACAACTAATTATAAAATCTTAACAATTTTGGTGTAGGTTATAAAGTATTTAAATAGATCTTCAACTATGCTGACAAACAAAATTGTTAAAAATTTTACAAGAAATCGAATGTAATCTTAAAACAAGTCTGCTAAATTAAAAAAATATTTTAAATATAAAAATAATAAATTTTAAGCATAACTTTCAACTTTAAGCAGATAACAAATGGTGTGCAATAAAATCGTCCCCCTGTGGCACAGCGGTATGTCTGCGGACTTACAACACTAGAAACCGGGTTTCGATACTCGCGGTGGGCAGAGCACAGATAGCCCTTGTGTAGCTTTGTGCATAATTAAAAGCAAACAAGCAATAAAATCATGAATAGAAAAAAATTGAATTAAACGATGTTTATTAATAAGTCAAAGCTGAAAAGTTTAAGATATCAATTAATGATACCAATGCTTCACAAAGGAATGTGCTGCCATCTATAAATGTTTTTTAAAACAAATGAGAAATAAAACAATTTACAGACCAAACAAGGGAATTGGGTCAGCTTCTTTTGCACAGTAGTTGATATACTCCCAATCTGCCAACTTGGTGTACCGTTGTTCTCGAGATCGGCCATGAAGCTGTAGAAATATTTAAAAAAATAGCATTTTAAAACTCTTATCTATAATATTTATATCCCTTAAACAACTAGCCTAAACCTAGTAAGTAGTTCTTTAAAAAAAATTTCTAGACTCACAATTCCAAATTTTTAGTATTGGTGTATTCTCAGGTAGTATTTAAAAAATTAAGTAATTTAAAATAAAAAATCTTGATAAATAAAATGTTTTTTCTGATCTTATCTTTAAACTGACATTTCCAAGGTTCTCCACTCTACTGGAAAAGTGCCTAAATATTATGACATTTCCGAGGTTCTCCACTCTACTGGAAAAGTCGCCTACACATTATGACATTTCCGAGGTTCTCCACTCTACTGGAAAAGTCGCCTACACATTATGACATTTCCGAGGTTCTCCACTCTACTGGAAAAGTGCCTACACATTATGACATTTCCGAGGTTCTCCACTCTACTGGAAAAGTGCCTACACAGTATGACATTTCCGAGGTTCTCCACTCTACTGGAAAAGTGCCTACACATTATGACATTTCCGAGGTTCTCCACTCTACTGGAAAAGTGCCTACACATTAATGACTAGTAAACATTTTGTGATATAAAATATTAACCATTAAACTAATACGTCATAAGAAAATATACAATAAATTAGTAACACACTGCTATATCTGGATTTGTACGACTCAAGAGTCATATCAGTCACGACTCAATACTCTCGTCTACAAGATCTGCATTTCAAGAGTATCCTAGTATCCTAGTCAGTGACATATCTAGTATACTAGTATCCTAGTATACTAGTATCCTAGTATACTCACACTAAGTCAGTGAATAAACTGTATGGAACTGTGATCATAAAACCTATAATAAAACAGTCCATTGATTTATTGATGACAGTTTAATAAATTTTATTAGTACATTTTTCTGCCACAAGGATAGAATAAAGTACTCACTATCCATAAGTCAATAAAGTGAATGCAACAGACAAAGCGTATTAACTTTATTTGATGTTGAAACAACAAATAATCTCTTAGATATTCAACAATACAAGTTAGGGTAAACATTAATCTACTAAAAACAAAAAACACTAATCTGGCTGGTTTTAGTATTTTTTTGTCGTATCCTATAATTTGATAATTGGATAACATACCCGTTCAATACACAGGGATGATGTAGGGAGGTCAGATCCAAATGCTGACCCCTCTAAGTTATTCGCTGGGTGCATGTCAGGTTTGGTTACAACAGATCTAGCTGTTCACCAATTATATCTGGACACACAGAAACACACACCGTTTTCTCGTATAATGGTTTAGAAATTTTCAAACTAAGATGGCCAGAAGTTAAAATTTCCTGTTAAGATTATTTTACTCCAATAAGAACTGCTCTAATATAACATGAAACCAGCAACAATTTTCTGAGCCACCTATTTAGAAACAATTATTTTATTAAGCCTAAAATGTATATTCTCTAAAGCTTCAGACTTTTACATCAACCTCCAAAATTAAAATACTTGTTTAAGATCACTTACGGTGATTAAGGCTACTCGCTCTCCAAGCTGTTTGATGCGATTAATGACACTATGGGCCGTGTTCTTGTTATCATGTATTCCTTTTCTCATCTTCACTGTTAAAGGAACATCAAGAACAGAAGACATCCCAACCACAATCTCTTCCAATTTATTTAATCTGCCAATCAAGCCACTTCCAGCTCCCTAGATAAAATATACAGTTTCCTCGTTACCAACATCAGAATATCACCTCTTCATAACATGCTTTAATTGTGTACTAACACATCAAAATAAGTTTCTTTACTTAATAGTTCACAAAATTTGTAACTTAATAAGAAATAAAAGGCAAAAACCTTAGCATTTAACATATTCTAGTTACTCTCACACTAAAAATCCTACCAAAATTCTTCAAAAATAGCCTCACTCGTAAATAAAGGATCAACTTTTAATACAGAACCATTATATCTAGATAGCACACCAACAGAAATATATAAATGTACTACATTCTACAAACTAGTCCTAATTTTTAAGTTTCTTAAGTCGTATGCTTAGAAGTCATTGAAATATTCCAAAATCCACAAGATAAGGTATAAAATATTTTTTGGTCTTATTCAAATATACAAAAAATGACCAGACAGTATTAAGATCTAACTTACATTTACATCAGTTCTCAATTTATATAAATGATATATTCCATTCCTAGTAGCAGTAATTAATCATCTTACTTACAAAGAAAGAAACATACTGATATACAGACCTGAAGTCCAAATATTATTAAATTACCTACATTACTACTGACCTTCTAGAATAAACAGTTTACTTCAAGAATTAGCATAACAATTACCAATCAATAATACTGTTTAAAATAACAATTACCAATCAATAATACTGTTTAATATAACAATTACCAATCAATAATACTGTTTAGCACAACAATTA